TCCGATGCATAAACAGATCCAGAGGCCCAAATTCAACAAACTCTTCAACCATGATATCTACAGAGGCAGGGGCATAAAGTCAGTACTGCAGTAACCGGTGCCCGGCGTAACCTAACAGGCCTGTACCATCTACCCCCCAGGCCAGGTGGTTAGAACACCCCTTTACTCCACCTTCCTCCAAGTTTATTTCAGCGCTCAGAGTCCAAAGTAAAAGGCCGAGTGGCTTCATGCAGTAAATGAACAGTAAACTCGGAAAAAAGCATTTGGAAGGCCGCAGGGCAGAGCCTTCCCAGGGAAACAACCCCTGCCAGAAGGCTGGGTGGTGCTGGCACCACCACTCCGGCTTGCTGACCCCAAGGAATCATCCTGTAAGCACTTGAAAACAGCATGGGAAGGGGAATTTGTTGGTAGAAAGGGCTTTGCAGCTGCCTTCCTTTCCAATTCCACTTCTGCCCACGCTGAAAACTCAAGAGGTGGCAGCTGCTAAGCCCATCTCCCCCCGCGCCAGCTCCGAACTGAATGGCCGCTCTGTCCCTTCCAAGCCCGCGGCTCACGCGCGCTGCCGGGAGACGTTAACAACTCACTTTCGACATCTCGGACGCAGACGCCGTGGAGGAGGACAATGTGCTTGTGAGACACCTGCCTCATCATGCTCGCCGTCTCAAAGAACGCCTGGCAGAAAGCGGAGGAGGGAAGGCGTTAAGCTGCCGGTCGCGGCGGCCGTCAACCAAGCGTTTAACACCCACGGAGCAGCAAGGGACAGAGCCTTCGGCAGAAGAGCCCCGTGTTTCCCAGTGACATCAGGGGGCAGGGACGGCGGTGGCGAGGCCCCTCGGGGGTGCTGCTCGCTAGGTCTGCGGGCGTGCAGGCTGTGGGTGAGCACGGGCGTGCTCCAGCCAGACATGCCGCTGCTGCCTAACGAGGACGGCAGAAACGTGGGTCCGCGACAGATCGGACTGCCCAAAAGGGCAGGATACACCTGTGGCGTTCTCCCATTCCCTTTCTGTACACACAGTCCCTCTTTTTTAAAGACTTTTCATAGTTAACCATGGCAAAGCCCAGTATCTAGAGTACAACAGACAAAGAGGAAAAAACTTGCCAAAGAAATGTCTCTGTGGCTGGGGTCCAAGACTTTGAGGAGGACTTTAATCTCCTTCTCATTTTGATATCCTTCATTCTCATCATCTTTGTAGTTGAGAATCCCCGAGTAAATCTGTGTTCTCGTCCCTCTTCCAAGATGTTCGCCCTAAGACATGACACATCGTGTATTTTTCAAGCCAGGAGACAAGCAAACCGGTGCAGACGGACACGAATACCTGAACCTGCACTCCGTTCTGCCCCTCCCAGCAGAGAGTGTTCTTCAGCCCTCCACTCCACCTAGCGACACGCAGACCAGGTTACCGCAGTGGGAAACCGAGCACGCGTTGTCTCCAGTGGGCTGAGCACACCCACCGCTGTGAACTCCTCTGGTATCGAAGGGCTGTTACATCTCCGTTACATCACGCAGGTTCTGTGTGACTTAACCTCATCAGACTACACACCAAATGAATAAATAATAACTGGCCTCTTATTTACAACAAGCTGCTATTGAGGCAATCTTTAATGTGTTTCCAAAAGTTAGAGGAAGCAATATTTCAAGGGAACACTTTGTTTGGGAAAGCAATTTCCTCCTAACTAACAGGATTCCCCCTTGGGTTATTTTGCAGGAAGCCTGCACGTTGACTGTAAATATACCAATCAAAAACCAATTAACATGATCTAGATCTGTCCCCTCCGGTCAGTGGTGCAATTTAAAACCAACCAAAACACCTTTTTAGGTAACTGAAGCAGCTAACTGCAGGATTCAAGAGCTCAGGACTTTTAGGTGCATTCAGTGTGATCTGTGCCTTCAGGCCACGGTGTGCATTCTGACGTTTGTCCAGGTCACCTGCACCGCGGACTGCAAACAACTGCCAGAGAATGTGGGTGCTAAATCAGTTTGGAGCACAAAATCTTAATGCTAAGACTCTTCAGAGCTTTTGAAGACCTCACTTTTTTTTTTTTTAAAACTGTAGGATATTATCTTAAGCCTCAAGTTGCCTGTTTTTCTGTGGCTTTAAAAGACAAAGCCACATCTAGCAACAAACCTGCTAGGGAAAACGGCTAAGACTCCCATGATTTTTTAAGAATGACCTTGAAAGCACCTCCCTCTACACACCTTAGAAAATCACTCAAATACACAACTGACTGCTAGTGAAAAGCATTACTTCCAAGCTTTTCTTTCTTCCACACAAGCGCATATAAACATTTGGATTCTGCAAACAAGGGGCTTTGATACAAGCAAAGCTTCAAATGAAGTTTTGCTGAGGAGACACGGGAGTGGAAGAACCAGGCAGAATGGGGTGACCCTGTTTCACCTGACCGGGTACAGCGGGCTACCCCGCTTCTGTGGTTACAGAGAGAGTTCAGCAGCTCCCTACCTGCATGATTTCCTCCTTGAGGATTCGATGGAAGCTCAGCTGCCCTAGGTGGTACACGGGCTGCCATTCCTGCGCCTTCTTGGTTGCAACTAGCAAGTTGGAGATTTCTGGAAGGCAGGGAGAGAAAACACTCCTTAAGGCTTTTCAAAGGTAACCGCACTCACCCTTCTCAGTCAGTGTCACGAGCGTGTGCTCACCGCAAGGTAAATCCCAAAACGAATGAGGAGGAAGGAGAAATGAAGAAACTTGGACTTTACATCTGCTCAAGCAATTCACTAGAGCAGAGCTACATATTTTATATTATACATACAGCGTTAATATTGGCCATATTGGGGCTGATCTTAAGAACCTGAACAGTGTTTGCTGCCCAGAGAAACACCCAGGGCTGAACGAGGCAATGCCTCTGCTGTACCACATGTAAAATAACTTCTGGCCACCAGGTACGTCTCCTTCCCAGCGTGCAGATGGGTAAGGGGTTGCTGGAGTCTCTTTCTCTCTCTTTAACTCCTCGACAATGTCTCGAGTTCCGGGCAACGGTCTGTTTCCAGAGCGCTGGAAGTAAATCAGGGAGTGGGAAATGAAGGAAGAGACTCAAAGGGCCGGTGCTTCCCCCCCACTGCTTCTGCTCAGGGAGAGGCATGGTTAGATCCAAGCCTTGCACGTGGATTCTGTCTTCCTGTGTTTGAGAGCAGGCGTTACTTATTCCGCTGCGCTGGGTTCTGCTGTCTGCGTGCATCTGGCCTCCCCTTTGCTGCCAGCCGAGCATGTGCGTCGGGGCTAGGCCGTGATCTGAAAACCACCAGTGATGAACCATGCGCTGGGAAACCCGCTTTATTCCCCCATCTCCTAAACTGCTTCGTGAACAACCCATTGAAGAGATTCAAAACGAAGGAAAACAAAACCAGGGCAGACAGAAGAGGGAAGAGCACAGGGATGCCACCGCAACTCACGCCGACGAAAAGCTGAAGCGGGCAGTCAGCTCCTTGACCCGTTTTATTTTATCCCAAGTACTGCTGTCACAATGCAACCAAAACGGCATAACCTGTGAATGCTCCAGACCACCGCCAGCGGTCTTCCGAGAGCTGATCAGCGTCTGTCTGCAGAGCACGCTCCTCTAGCACCGCCAGAATACGCAGGTAATTAGTGTGGCTCAGTTATTCCCCTTATTCTAGCAGGAAACCGTTATCTGATCAACGCAGTCACGCCACTGTGCTTCCTCTTTCACACAGAGCTCAGCTGCGAGACACTTGTAGTGTACAGCAATTTCAGTGAGTGTCGGCGTTAACGGCTTAACAAATGCACGATTGTCCCGGCCCTCTCCAGTCTGACCTCACGGCTGGATTTACGGAGTGCACGGCTGTTCTGCTTGCCAGCAGCTGCAGACCAAGCCTCCCCTGCTGCTTCACGAACGTGAACAGGGCAAACAAAAGCTCCGAACCAGAGTGAACAAGCTTCAAACCAAAGGCTGCCACACAACCACTGCGGGCTGCAACTCTCCTTCGCTACAGGAGCGCGCCGGGAGGCACGGCCTGGCATACGTGACTCGGTGGAGCAAAGGAAGAACCTTATACAGTCCCGCTCCAACGCAGCATCTCAGCCCAGGCCTCTGAGTCAGCTGTGACATTTTCTCTTTAAACAACCCCCAGTTCCACCTCTGCCGCTGACACTGCAGGGCCAGCTGTTTAGGAGCAAAGAGGGAAACGGGAGCGCCTCGCTGCCAGCTGGGGAGTGCACAAAAAGGCGGCTCACGCAAAGCACCTGCCCCCAGCATCCTGTGCCGAGCTCGTTCACAGCGAAAGGGGATGCCTAAAACCTCGTTCAGCCCCTGGCTTTCGAAAGGGGATGCCTAAAACCTCGTTCTGGCTTTTGCCTTTCAACAAGGCTCCTCCTCCCCGAAGAAGCAAGAAACTCTTACATACTTTTTTAAGCGACAGAAGAGCTTCACACAAGAATACAGAACAGACCAAAGACACTGGGAACTCCTATTTCTGGAGTTTCTTTTCTTTCAGCGAGGTTCATTTTAAAAGACAGACTACCTCTTGGTTTTGGTTGGCAGCACCTCTTCAGTGTAAAGCTTATGTTGTCCGTCCGTAGTATCTGTCCCTTCAGGTGATCCATCAGCTCTTTCAAGGATGAGAAAGACTTGTTTGAACCATGTAGGAAGTAGCCGCCTTTCTTCACCTCAATCTGGAAGTTCTTGTACTGGATTGAATTATTTATCATCTGCTATTAGGGGGAAAAGGGGAACAAAAGAAAGCACAAAACCCATCGTTAGAGTGAAAGAATGTTTGTAACACCATGCAAACTCCCCAAAAGCCTCTGAAATTACACGCAGGACCAGTTAATCACTGCTCCTATGCCTCGGTCTTCTAATCAAACTCCAACAAAGTAGAAAAAGGCCCTAAAATCCCTATAACCTTCAGTCCCAGGAAGGGTCCGAACAGCAGAGCAGAAGAGGAGCAACAGACAGATGCAACCATCTAACAAGTCCAAGCTCCTGTGTTTTGCAGAAGCCCTGGCTCTTCTGAAGGAATTTTCCCTTCACTTGGTCAAGGATTGCAGAATCTGGACCACAGTTTCAAAATCTCCACTTAAAAATAGCAAAAATCCCTTTCACAACCCAGATTGTTCAACGAGTGAAACCTGTTGAAACTTTGGGGCTGTTGTCCAAACCTTCCAGTTTGAGGAAGAATGACGGAGCTTTGGTACAAAAGCCCACGCCCTTTCCAATTCCACCCTCTACTCCTGCTTCCTCACCTCCCTCCTCCCTCCCTAAGCCCTGCAGTGAGGTGGAATAACTTCCAAGACCAAATTAATTCTTATTTCAGTGCCTCAGTTGCCCCGTCTGTTAGAAAACAGGGCTGATCCCAAGTTGTTTTGCAAATGCCTACAGAAGATGAGCCGGGTATCAGTGCTGAGACGACCCTTACTCCCGAGATGTTTTTTTCGTTTTGTTTCTTGTTTCACATGTCCCTTCTTGACCTCATTGTTGATTCTATGGTTAACATCGTTTTTTAAGGGAAGGCAACCCATTTATATGCTTTGACACTATTATTATTCCTGTGTCAACACTCGAAATATCTTCCCCAAACGAGCTTCCAGCTGAGGTCGGCACAATTCAACCATTTGTGCAGTTGCTGCATCTTCTATTTTACTTCAAACTGGTTCTCTCACCTATCCCACGTCACGAGCTTTTACCTGCCACTCCTCAAACTACGTCCCACCAGCTCACTGCGTGTATGTCCCCTTCTGTGGCACTCTACATGTAAAGCCAACCACCCACACGCGCTGTTCTTCTACAGGGTGTCAGCAGAAACACACGGAATCACAAAATAGTTTGGGTGGGAAGCGACCTCAAAGATCATCCAGTTCTAACCCCCTGCCATGGGCAGGGACACCTTCCACTAGACCAGGTTGCTCCAAGCCTCATCCAGCCTGGCCTTGGACACTCCCAGGGATGGGGCATCCACAGCTTCTCTGGGCAACCTGTCCCAGTGCCTCCCCACCCTCTACACATTCATATAATTAAATCCACATTCAAGAAACACTAGGCAAGTTGCAGTGACAAATTCTATACGTCATTCTCACGCCCATATGAGTTGAAAAAGCTTAATTTCCATCATGTTCATGCAGCGTTTTATGGCTACGAATGGAAATGTTCTGGGTGCAATGATTGTCAGGGATAGCACAAGAGCCTGGGGAACATGAAGCTGCAAGTGTCTACCCTCTGCTGCATCAGCTATGAAAGATACGAGTGACAGCCCTAAAGAACATAAATACATCGACACAGATTGCAGGGAGCTGCTGCTCTTCAGCTCGTTATCAGGCTGCTGCTGGGAGTGCCACACCTGACGTACCTCTGAGCCTTCAAAACAGGTCACCGTCATGAGAATGTGGTTAAAGTTCGTGCAGCTCCATCTCAACACGTACATCCCAGCTTCGTTCCCTTCCTGTCGCAGTTTGTTGATGGCGTATTCCGTGCTGAAAGAGTCAAGGTACAGATGAGGGAAACCAGCAAATGAGCAGTTGCATCCAAACATCTATTAGGAGCAAATACACAGGAGAGCAATCCTGCATTTGGAACGAAACCACGCGCAGCTTAGAAATATTTCTATTATTATGGAAACAAGATGTAATTGTGTGCATTACACGTGCTCAGAGTTAGCTGCAAAAGCAAGGGAAGAAAGTTCTACTGAGCTCTTAGGATGCTTAACAGGAGAATTCCGCATCCACAGAGCGCAAGTAAGCTCTTGGTTGTCTGTATGCTCCACGTCAGAAGACAAAAAGAACAGACAAAAAGGTGGGCAGAAGGGAAAATAATTGCTTTAGCTATTTAGAAAAATATCCAAAGGCTTTGTGCCTCCACCCAAGGACTCCCAGGATCAGGGTAGATACAGTTCAACTTTACCTAAAATATTCCCATCTGTTCAGCTGAGAGTGATCTTTGCTAGTGAAGTTAGCCTCAAAATACTGCAATAGTGAGGAAACACGGGTTTTATCAATGAGTAAACTGATGTGGAGAGAAACGGTGGTATTTTTCTGTAATTTAGAGTCCAGAGGAGGCCACGGAGATGCTCCGAGGGCTGGAGCCCCTCTGCTATGGGGACAGGCCAGGGGAGTTGGGCTTGTTCAGCCTGGAGAAGAGAAGGCTCCGGGGAGACCTTATTGCAGCCTTCCAGTGCC